TGGTTCGTTCATTTGCTGGTTATATATATATTTTTTATACCCGCCATTTGGAGAGTATCAGGGTATATAGTATATGGCATTCAGGCAATTTCATAAAACAGGGAGAATAAAGGATAGGGATATAGGGAACTATAAAAGAAAGATCTAAATTTGAAGATCTAGAAAAGAGAATAAGGGTTATGGATATAACGAACTATAAATTTTAGATCTATATTTGAAGATATGGTATAGTTTTGTTTACCAAATTTATCAAGCTTTATGAAAAATTTTAAGCAATCCAGTAAAAAAAATGTTTAAGCTATTCAAAATTAAGCAAATACATAAAAATGATATAATAATAAAATAAAATGTTTAAATTTAAAGGGATTAATTTAAAACTCACTTTATATATAAATAAGGCTTACAAAAAATTAATCCTAATTTAAAAACAGTTCTCAAAAGAGTCAAGCACTTAAAGGGGTTTTAAAGCTGCTAAATGTTTCATTTTTAAGTAAGCTGGAAAATACAAATTATATAATAATATACTAAAATGTTTTGTAGAATTGTAAGGGATTAATTTAAAATCCATTTATTATATAAATATACCTCCTAAATGCATCTGAAAAGTATCTAACACTTAGAGTTGTTTTTAGCTCCAAGATTTTTCTGCATTACAAGGTATCCCATGGTCGTGTCACTCTCCCCTATCATTATTTCTTGTTTTTCTTCTTATTTTCCATCAGCGTCGCCGACTTGCCTGTGGTGCGGAGCCAAGCCAAGTCAGCCAAGCTATGGAAGCTATCCAAGCCAGAGCCAAAGCCAGGCCGAGCCGCTCCGAGTCGCGTCGCGTCGAGTCGAGTCGAGGCAGGCCAACCAACGCCATCGCATGCTTCACCTTCGCCCCACCGCACACACACACACACACACACACACACACACACACACCGGCTGGTTGGTGTGGCTGTTTCCCCTTGGTTTCCCCACCCCCTTCCACTCTCTGGAGTTTCTTGTTTTCTTTCAGCGTTTTCCCCCCTTTCCAACCAGCCACCATCCGTCCACCAGTCAACCCCATTCCCCCGACTGGGTCCCCATTCCCATCTCTTGGCTCTTTGCCTTGTCGTAATTTTACTTGGGTTTTTTTTGTGTTCATTTTCTTTTTCTTTTCCCTCTGTGTGTGTGTGTGTGTTTTCCTTTCTGTGCGCTGCTTTCTGCTCTGCCTGCGACTCGGTTTCGAAATAAACTTTAATGCGGAGCCGTTCGTTCGGTTTTTGGGGCCTCAGTTTCTGCTGCTCTGTTAAATTTTCTGGTTAAATTTTGTGCGCAGTCAGCTCGCGATGCAGTTCGAGGCGTGGACGCGCTTTTGGGGTTGCTCCAAGGGGTTGCCAGTTTCAAAAATGGGTCCTGACTTGGGGGGTTTCGGTTGAAGAAAGAGAAGTTCCCAAGAGTTGGTCAATTGGAGGCCCACCTAGGGTTAGCAATGGGAAAAGCTAGAGGTTTTTTTATAGGACATCGATATAGGGGTTTATATGGGGTCAATATTAGTAAGATCTGTATATTACTTAAAATACTGTTTACAATTAATTAATGTTTAGCTAAGTTCAAGTTTCTCAATGTCTAGTTAAAGGAGCAAGTTGCTTAACTGTCAGTTATTATTAAAATTAAAAATTACCATTAGTTTTTCCAAATTTATGTATATCTTTAGTAGTTAAAAATAATTGTATTTATAAAAAAAGGTAATTAATTTTCACATTTTAGATAAGGTCCAGTTATTCAATGTCTAGTTAAGCCTCACTTATTTAACTGTCAGTTACAGTTAAGGTAAATCATATTAACGAAAGCTATTCAGTTAGGACTTAACTCTCAAATATGAGAACCAATGCAATTGAGAAACAATCCCTTATTGATTTCCAGACTAGAGTTAAATATAGATTTAATCAATATTCTGGGTTTATTAAATAGACACTATTGAGATGATTAAATTCACGAAGTATAAGTTTATTTCTCAGCATCCGGTTAAGAGTAACGTTACCATTAAGTTTAGTATTACCTTTTAGAATGTCATATCATTGAAATATCCTCTCAGAAGAAAGTTTTGTTTTATAATTTATGCTTGTCATTTAAACATTTTAAAGTAAATAAATATTTAATAATAAGATTTAATAACTAAACGTTACGATAAACCAAGATTTAGCTTCTTCAAATCAGTAGATATTATGCTAGTAGGAATTTGTATTTATCAAAATAACTTTTAACCCCTTCAAGATTAGTCCTTGCTTGTGATAGTCCTTTTTGCCAAGACCGAGCTGGTCTCCTTTTGCGCAGTCTCGCCGCATTGCAAGTGGCCGGGAATGCTGGTTGCCGTTTATAGTTTCACTATAAAGGCGGCGCACATATGAATATTTTTCTTACCATCGCTCGCTTTTTGGCACGCAAACGCACACAGCACCGAGTACCAAGCACCAAGCACCAAGCACCAAGCACCAAGCACCGAGCACAAGCCATCCCATCGAACCCGGCCACAGTCAGTCAGCCAGCCAGCCAGCGAACGTCCTCGACAAGCCCAGTCAGCCAGGCCGGGCCAGGCCGGGCCAGGCCGGGCCAACAACAGGCAACATCATCAACGGCAACAGCAACCACTTCAGTTCCTCCGCCTCGCAACCGTCGCCCCATTCGTTTGCCATACAATCTGAAAATATATAGAAAAAGCAGCAACAGCAACAGCAACAGCAAAACGTCGACATTTGGGACGTTCGTTCGTTCGTTCGCTGGGTTCGTTTGTTCGTATCGCAGCGGAGCGCTCAGAGCCGGAGCCCCATACAGCAGATACAGATACAGATACAGATACGAGGGGCTCACACACACGCAAAGATACTGTGCCAGGGCAGAAAACATATACGAGTTTGCCCGTACATATACGATTTTTATATTTATATAGAGTCGCAGCAACACGCGCACTGGATTTCATCGACGGAATCACAATGCTCTACTGCGACTACGGCTGCAGATATAGATACGGATACGGACGGATGGTTGGATGGATGGATGGACGAACGGACTGACGGGTTGGCTGCTTGGCAAAAAAGATCTTTCGGGGAAGGCCGAAAGGTTTCTTTTGGGGTTGATTTTGTGGGTTTTCGGAAAAATACTCGGAAAAACTGTAACTGAAATATATACGAATAAAAGCCATGATATTTTTTGGGTATAGTGGGTGTTTTAGGGTCTGTTAAGGTTCTTTTAAAAGCCAGATTTATCTTTTATTTATAAATACAATTTTATAAAAAATTAGAGATTTAAAAATTTAAAACACTTTCCTTAAAGAAGGGGTTTTCAAAAGAAAAATCTTCATACATAGCTCAGTATCCATTTTTGAGTATAATAGAATATTAAAAGTATAAAAATATTAAGTAAATGAATAACACAATTAAATCTAAATTACAATATTTTATATATGAACTTTATTGAGGCAAAATTGTTTTTTTTTGTTCTTTATATATTATTATCTTTTCCTGTTTATGTACATAAGCCCCTAGTTAGTCTTAACAGGACATTGAGAAAATGAGTCTTATGAGATTCGTTTCTTAAACATAATACTTTCTCTTTATACTTTCCCAAACAAATACATCTAATCAATTAATATATTATAATTATATGTAATATATAATATATCAATTATTATTCCATTTAAAAACTGAAAGTACAATTGAAAAAATTCACTCATTATATAGTGGTTATATAGTGAATATCGTGGAATAACTCTCAGCTGACTGAGCTGGTTACCCAGAATCTCTCGATGGAGATGACAAACAGTTCAGTTCCGAGACTTTGACTGAAAATATATACGATATATACGAAGATTGTCGTCATCGCCCGAAGTGAATTTCAATGCAAAGCTGAGAGTCGCCGAGAAGCTTTTATTGTTGCTGCTGCAGTTGCAGTTGTTGTTGCAGCTTCATTTCCAGAGCAATGAATGATTATAAAAATCTATAATTCTTTTCTTCCGCTCTGTTTTGGGGACGCCTCTTTGGTTCTATAGCTTTTTATTGGCACCGAACTAATAGACACTTGTCTTTCCGAGCTAACTAATTTTTGAAAAAAGCTATGATGATGAGTACTCATGGCCGACAAGTTCGGCTTCATACGAAGCGAATACAACTCGTCGGGCTCATATCCTGTTTGAGGTTGTAAAATTGTAATCTCTTAGCCAGCTGCTGCGACTCTCTGTTGGCCGTTTGCCTTTCGTTTCCTCATTGAATACTAACAATCTCTTTGTTTATAGGTTATTGTTGTTCAAATTAGTGTTACTTTTAATTTAATAGCTCAAGTTAATACTTTACATTGAATATAGCATTGGGCGGAAATAATATGATTTTTTAAGTTCAAGATTTTAGTTTAAAATGTTGATTGGAATTTTTCTTTACCTATTGGTTTATTGGGAAACACTATTTATTAAAGTATTATAAATTATTGGGAATAAAATGAGTTATTTAAACAATTCAAATACAAATTTAAATGTTCATTTGTACAATAAGTAAAAGGAAAAAGCAATCAACAACCATATTTTTTAGAATAGAAAAATAGTAATGAAAATGCTTATGCCCAGTGCGCCCTCATAAAACCAACGTTTAAACGTATGAACAGTTACCGCTCCACCTAGTGTTTGTTACGTGTAACAACAAAAAATTTATGTTTGCTGAAAGTATCATAAAAATCCAATAGAGAGTGCTAGTTTGAGTCCATGCCTGGTAGCACTCATATAACGAATCAGAAAATAATTAACATTAATGAATTAAATATTGTATTTTAAAACAGAAAATGCAAGCACTCTCATTTTTATGAGTTTCATCCGTTTTTTTAATGGATTTTCTTTGCTTTTACATGGAAAACCTATTTTTTCTTCATATCCCAATTGCCGGTGGACAGTCTGGCAGCGCCATGGATTTTGAACCGCCAGAAATTTTAGTGTGACCAGTTGCACTGAAGTAGAAACGCTTCTAATGTTCTCGCGGTTTTGGTATTTCGCTGCACTACTAATCAGCTGTTCAAAGATCAAGTTTTTAATTTTGGTTGCTGCCGGAAAAACTATTGTTAAAATAATGATGCAACAATCCAAGCGCATGGTAAGTAGGCGTGGAAATCCCACCTTAAAGGCTAAGTCAATAAATATATGACGCATTTCAGCTGCTGCCCCTGCTGAGCGGCTTGCGAAATTTGCCGGCACGCACTGTAACGACCACGACGGCGGCGGCGCCCGCCAAAATTGAAAAAAGTGCGTAGTACGCTGAGCATTGTTGTTATCTTTGTGTTAACTATTTTATGTTTGCCTTAATCCACGCAGCGGTCAACACCGTAACCATTTTGGGGCGCGTTGGGGCCGATCCGCAATTGCGCGGTTCCCAGGAGCATCCGGTGGTCACGTTCTCCGTCGCCACACACACCAACTACAAGTAAGTACATATGCGTGTGTGCGTGTGGCGCAGCATGTGTTCGCAATTGAACTTGAAACGAAATCTCCAAGGAGGCAACACAGTCACGGTCGTTATAGCGCTATAGCATTGATCAAGTTTTCCAAGGCAATACAGTAGCGGACAAAGGATTTATAATAGATCAAGATTAAGGTTTTGAATGCTACAGTTATGTCGTTAAGTTAAGGAAACAAAGTGTCCCAGGCATCACAGTCACGGTCATAATTACAGCCAGGCGAAGTCATAACCCTCAGAAGAAAATATTAAAGGAAGGACAATCGCGGTTACAACTACAAGCAGTGAGCATTCAACAGGGCCATAAACATGCAGCTATATTTAAATTAAATTCAACAATTAGCTTAAGAGCTCTTTTTTTTTAGTTCAAGCAAAATTGAACTACATTTAATAACTTCGCTCTTCCAGATACGAAAATGGTGACTGGGCCCAGCGAACAGACTGGCATCGCGTGGTGGTGTTCAAGCCCAACCTCCGGGACACCGTGCTGGAATACCTGAAGAAGGGTCAGCGCACCATGGTGCAGGGAAAGATCACCTATGGAGAGATTACCGACCAGCAGGGAAATCAAAAGACCAGCACCAGCATCATAGCCGACGATGTGCTCTTCTTCCGGGATGCCAACAACTAGAATAGAGGCCCTCAGAAGCCCAGAAAACCAGACCTAATCTTAAGAACAAAGTTAAACTTGCAGCATTGTATGCATTTAGAATATATGGATATATATTGTGTTACCAAACGTCAGATGACATGCCTAGAGTTATGAATATTTATGGAATGTCCATTGGCTCATCACAATCAATCAGTGGGCAGGGGCAATTGGCAGTGCTTTTCTTGGCTTCCTTGTCCTTAACCAGTCTTTTAAACTCATCTTGCACTTGATTAATCTGTGACTCGAATTGGTTGATCTGTTTCTCCATTGACTCCATGATGGTAGTGTGGTAGTTTATGATCTGGGTTATCTGCAAAAGCATCAGTTAAATATATTGTTAAGATTTGGTTTCGAATTTCGTACCAAACTCCTAGGGGCTAGTTTCTCTACAACCTCCTGATGGAACGCCTCAAGTTCGCTCCTTATGCTGTTGCACTGAGCAGCTGTTTTTTCGGTGGCCAAAAGCTGTACGAGGAGGTCCTCGTATGTGGCACGAGCCAAAGGATAAACACGAGATGATGGGTTCCCAGGATGTCTTTGACAATTCCTCTCCAGTCGGGAGACAGTTGTCTCCGCCTGCAGCAGGTTGGCCTCGTTCTCATTTAGGTCCATTTCCAGCCTTAGCATGCTGCAGTTTAGTGAGTTCACAAGTTGGTGCACTGAAAGGACCTGGTAATTACAAAAGAGTTGTTAACATAAAATGTTTAAACTTTTTCGATCAAAGGCAAAGCTAACATTTATGGCATTGTCTAAGCACTTCTGCTCTTGTTCTCTACAAAACTGACTCTTGGTTTCGAAATCCATTGCCATTTCCTCTATATCACGAAATAGAATATGGGCCAGCATATCCAGGTATAGGAAAGACATTGGTTCCCCTGACATGTTTTCTTCACACAAAATTTGGTATTACTTGGGGATTGCTTTATATCTTTGAATTATAATTTAATTTTGTTAACTATATTTTTTGAGTCCCGATTTATGTGTGTCGGCTTTGAAAGCTATGAAACCTTTTAGTCTAGTTTATATATTTGTTTTGCATGACATTTAACTAACTTACTACATGTTGTATGTATTTATGAACTTGAAAGGCTTATCGCATGATATATTTTCATATAATTTCAGGGTATTATAGTTTTTATTTTCGACTATGTATATAAATATTTACTTTATGTAGTTCTTTATCTTTATCAATAGCTGAGTCGATCTAGCCTTGACCGTCCGTTTCTCCATTTCTATTCAAACTAGTCTCTAAGTTTTGAAGCTATTTGAGTTATATTTTATAGATATTTTATATTATATTAATTTGTTGTCGTTTTCGACCCTATAAATCATATACATATATTCTTTATTTTTGGCTTAGTTATGATATTTGGAAAACTTTGATTTACACAAAAAATTAGCATATAAAATTTTCGATTTAATATACCTCTTATAGTTTTTCTTTTAGACACACGAAGGCCGAAAAGCCAAAAGTTCTACAAAATCATATATGTATAATTATATTTGTAATAAAAAATAAAACATTTGAAAAAAATATCACAATATTTTTCAAAATTTCTTTTAATTTTTGTAACACTATAAAATTGTAAAGAATTCATGAAAATGTTAATTTTTTAAACTACTTAAGCCCAATATGCTAGTATCCTAATAAAAGCCAACAAAGAAAAGATTAACAAATTGAGATTAATGTATCTTTGGTTGAGCTATGATCGATTTCACATTTGAACCCAAGATCATAGGGGTTACTGCATTGTTGTTTTACTTAGCAATAAACTATTTTTCTAATCATTACAATTAAAATGTTGCACTTAAAAACTATGTACTTAAAACCAGCCACTTCCTTCTAAAACTTACTCAATTCTAGAATGTCCATGTATTGCCTGGATACAATTGAATTATTATAATGATTAAAAAATGGCTTGTCTTTGATTGATTTGTAAATATTTATTTATTTATATAAAGCTAAAAGTTGGTTATAAACTAAAAGCTAACTTATTAATTATTATTATTACCTTATACTTTTAGTTGACTTTCTTTTTAGTAGATATCTTGTCTTTTAAAAACTTGATCTTGTTTTTTACATATTTCTAATGCGTTTCTAAGAACGCTTACCAAATTGAAACTTTTTCGAAAGCTCATTGGTAATGTGAGGCTTAAGTTTGATCCAATGTGGAAGTACTCCAAGAGTACTCAACTCTTCCATCCATCAACCATAGGTGACCCACTCAGAACCGCGATCCACAAGCGGCGCAGAAGCTCTCTCCACACACATATGGATGTGAGCTTGGAGCGGCGACCTTATCGCCATTTGGAGGCTTCTCTCTGTGTGTGTGTGTGAGTGTGTGCCAAGTATTCAGCTCCAGAGCTCCATCATGGTTCGATTTCTCGGTGAGCGGCACAGTTCGCAGTTAGCTTTTTGCCAGTTCAAATGCTGCCGGCGGTCGGAAGAGTTGAAAGCTGATCGAGCGCACCGTCCGCGGGTTTTCCTTTCGAGCACGTTGTCTGTCTCGGCGTCTTCGCGATTCGCAACTATCAGTGCTCAAGTCCATGTTTACTCCACTTCTCCGGAAGATGAGAATTTGTTGAAAGCAGACAGCACCGCAAGAACTTCCTCCATTTATCATCCTCGAATATATCACAAATAATCATAAAAAAAACAATAAACAATGGCCGTGGATTATGTGCTGGAGGACCTCATGGGAAAACTGGGTGAGTTGTTGAGGTGTTTTGGGAGGTCAGCTGTTACGTTACGTTACGTTGCCAGGCGTCTCCATCCCGAGCTGATAAGAGGCGCCCCGGGCCCGGGTTACTCTTATCATTTTGAGAGCTCTTATCAGTGCTGAAAAACTTGTCCCAGGCCAGGCCAGGCGGCAGCTGCCACTGGGCGGATAATGGATAATTCGCTTTGAATATTTGATTTAGCCGACAGCGGTGTGACGACGACGGACGTTTTGTTCTGCATTCAAAGTTTCTAATTAAATTTTTCGTTTTTAATCTGCAAGTGTCTGTCACGCATTCAAAGGAAGCCGACGCCTCTAATACAGTTTTAATTACAACTACTATTTTTGCTTTTTCAATTTAATAACTCCCCAAGGCCTCGACAAATGGTAGACATCTATGACAGCTGGACAGAGTCAATGCTGACCTTTTGATCTCTAAACAATGCCTCTGTGGAATCGGATTAGAATTGTTTTGGCTTTAAGCTGAATCTTAAATAGAAAAAATTTTAAAATAATTTCTGATTCTTAATTTCTTTCTTTCTGATTTTAATTTGTAATTAAAGGGTTATCATTACTTTTATAGATTATTCCTAGTGAACATATTATTTTACTTAGTCACTTAAAAATCTCTTAAGGTTCATTGAGTATAAAAACTTTTCATTTTTAATTGCATAGATATTCTTACATTGATTTCCAAACCTATTCCGATAAGCTTCATTATATTCTTGATATATGTACAATCGCGTGGGGGAACAGCCTTAATTTTTATTTTTTCGAGTTTTTGAGACTGGCTGACACTTGTTGAACCTTCTTGGCCGACTTTAGCACAGTGACGCTAAAACCAACAAGTAAACATGGCTGAATTAGGGGAGCGACGTGGGATTGCAGATTGCTTTTGTCACAAGACTCTAAGGTGGGCCCTGTCATAAAGATCTTGGGATCCCTGGGGGAATTTTCACTTTAATTTACAGTGCAGTAGAAGTCTGCGGTTTATGCACTGCACTTAACTAAAGGCAGAGATAAGTTATATTTTATATTTTTATGTAAAACGGTTAATAACAATTGTGGGAAAGCTTAGAGAGCGGGCACTAACGCTCGTCTTAATGATAAATATTATAGTTACATGGTAACACGAAGTTGGCTGATTTAATGCATCTTAAATGACATTCAGTCAGAGGAAAATGGGAAGAAATAAATAAAATAAGCTTAAAGAAATTAAATAAAATTCCTAATCCTTTATTTTAATCTTTTTAAGAACTTAAATATTTCATCAACCCATTATCTTTCGGCTACTGTTTGAGCTGTCATAGATTAGACACAAAAAATTCCATAATTTAAATCTAATCAACTCACCTGTTGATCTTCTCTGCATCTTCTTTCACCTGAGTTGTACAGGTACAATTTTTGCAACACTTTTCACGGGAATTACTCTGAGACTGGTTTTTCATTTAGCAGTCTAGAAAACTTAAAGTGTGTCTGCTCAAAAAAAAAAAAGTGAAAGAGACATGCCGTGAGTGAGTAATAAACGTATTAGAGGCTTTTTTTAATGTATTAATCTGATTATTTATTTATACATTCATTCGCACAACCCAAAGCTGTGTTTGTGAAATGCAAAAAACACAAACTGGTTTTCTGATTCAGTTCCCTTCCCCCTCAAAGTTCACATGTCGCTCTCTCAGGTGTGTTTACTTTTGTTGAAGGCCTCTTTGGCGGACAAGTAGCTCTAATTACTTCGAATTTGGAGGCGTGTTATAGCGCGGAATTCGTGACTTTCTGGCCAAAAGAAGGTTACTATATATGAACGACTTTCAAAGTACTTCCACGTGTGTGGGCTAGAACAAAACTGAAACGGCCTTCACTATATATAATTCTATATGCAATGGAAGTGAAAATATTGGTTGTAGCTAGTTAAAGTTTAAGTAGAATCCGGTAGTATAAAACCCTGATCTACCTCAATGTAGACTATATTGGATTTCAAGACCCAGAATAACAAAAAGTTAAATAAGTTCTTGCTTTTCAATAGAAATTAAATAGAATAGAAATGAATATCCCATTTTTATGATTATGGGTATATTGTTAGAGCCATATTCCATTGCCTTATCAGAATCACTTATCACCTCTGGGCGTGATATCCCAGAGTCTGTCCTATATGTTTATCTTAGTAAGTATACAGAGCTGTGCTTTTAATACATCATTATACCTGTGTGTTAACTGGGCTCTTAAAGAGTACCGCAAACAATCAATGAGAGCCAAAACAAATGTCACATTCAAGGGGCACTTGGCAACCATAATAAGCCTAGAATGTCATAAATTCAATCCAAAAACAATGGCGCTGATATATATTGTATATAGCCTCTGATAATCCGTTATGATTTGATGATATGAGAATTTACTATGCCGGGTTTTTGCCGGTTATCAAAATGATTTCACCCCTCCATCGATTGTCAAACCTTGTCGCGGCAATTAAACACTTATTATGTATATTGGGGGGAGTAATTGAATTTAATTAAAGTTTGTGATAAAATTTCGAAAATTGAGATTAATTAAGACAGGCCACCCCTTTGGTTTACACTCTCGATGACATAATTTTACAATCCCTGGGGCCAATCATTTCAATTATTCTCTGGAAAACTAAAAATTCTCCGACGAGTGTGTAACGTAACTTAACTCTCAGACGGGGCGTATACGTAACTTTCCGTTTGAAGGCGAAAGCATCGCATCCCATCGCATCGCCTAAACGATCAATAAACGTAACCCACAAATCAATTGAAATGGCTGATTGAACATTGGACCGTTCATGTGTCAAAACCGCGTATCTAGGCTACACAACCAACGGCCAAGCCGATAGAAATTTACACAGCCCCTCGATGCCCTCTATCAAACACGATCGCGATCGAAGTCATAATCGATTCAATGCATTCTCATTCTCCGCCAAGACATCCAAGCCACTGAAACTAAACCAAAACCAAAGTGTGGGCAAATATTTGTAAGGCATTTGTATGCGTTTCAATTGAAATCGAATTGAATAAATTCCGCTTGATTTAATTGCATAGCCTTTCGAGTGACGACAATGCCGGAGGCACACCATAAAGTGTCCATCTCATCTACATAAAAGTGGGGTGTTTTTTTTTGTTTGTATTACTTTAGCTGAGTTGGTTTCATAAATATACTTCCATAATTGTTTACTATTTAAACATTAAAATTGCTGTATTATATGGTGTATAAAATTGCCCAGAAAGTATAAAAGCAAATGGAAAATGGACGAGCTAACTCGATGTCTAGTGTCTTTCTGAAGATTGTAGTATCAAATCATGTTAGTTTTATAAATATATTTCTTTAATTCTTTACTATTTAATCATTAAAATTGCGGTATTATATGGTGTATAAAATTGCCGAGAAAATATAAAATCAAATGAAAAATGGACGAGCTTACCCGAAGTCTAGTTTCTCTCTGAAGATTGTAGTAACAAATCATGTTTGTTTGTAAAAGAATATATTGATTTAGATTTCATAAATACAAAATAACATCAATTTCAATGAAAAAAATTGTTCATTTTACTAAACCAAGATCCAGTGCCTCTCTCTGAAGATTGAAACAACAAATTATGTGTGTTGACCAAAATGTAGATAATTTCCTCGCTCCTTTGCTGTTTTTTATCGCCTTTTTTGTGCCTAATTTAAATGCTATAATTAAACATTTGTAAACAAAATTAATAATCCTAATAATCTCTTACCTTTCCAGGGGAATTTGGCAAGTACCAATTCCTGCAATTTTTCCTGCAGGTACTCTCCGGCCTCACCGCTGGCATGCACATGCTCTCGCTGGTCACCGTGGCTGCCGTCCCGGAGCACCGCTGTTTCATTGAGAATGTGGACAACAGCAGTCTATCGATGACGCCATGGAACTCGAGTGCTATACTGGCTGCCATACCGTTGAAACCCAACGGAGAGCTCGACTCCTGCCACATGTTCGATCCAAGTGCACCGGGCACCAATGCAACGGTGGCATGCACAAGTTACGTATACGACACGACGTACTACAAAACCTCACGCACCATCGACTGGAACTTTGTGTGCGAACGCCGTTGGATGGGGGCCATTGTCCAGACCGTGTTCATGCTGGGCGTGTTCACGGGTGCCGTCACCCTTGGCGGACTGGCCGATAAAGTGGGTCGCAAAACGGTGTTCTGCTGGTCGGCTCTCATCCAGCTGATCATCGGCGTGGGAGTGGCCTTCATTCCGGAGTATTTCTCATTTATGGTGGCACGCTACCTGCTGGGTATTGTGGGATCTGCGGGTGCCTATATCTGCGGTTTTGTGCTGACCATGGAGCTGGTGGGACCCAGCAAGAGGACTGTGTGCGGCATTACCTTCCAGGTGAGAGGGAGCGAGATTATATCCTACTGAAACACGTTTATAACTTTTCCTGATCTCCTGCAGGCTGTCTTTGCTGGTGGCATTATGCTGGTGGCCGGCTGGGGAGCCATCATCCATGATCGGCAGCTGCTTCAGGTGATCTATGGACTGCACGGCTGCCTGTTCCTGGGCCACTGGTGGTGGCTCGACGAATCTCCACGCTGGCTGTGGATGCAGGGTCGTGCCGCCGAGGCAGTGGACATTGTGGCAAAGGGCTTGAGGATCAATGGCTCAGGCATACCGGTGGACAAGGAGTACTATGTGCAGAAGGCCAAACAGCAGGCAGCGACGCAGGAGAAGAGCAGCGCCGGACTGAGTGATCTCTTCCGAACCCCCAATCTCCGGATGAAGACCCTGAACGTGTGCCTCTGCTGGTTTGCCAACTCCCTGGTTTACTATGGTCTCTCGCTGAGTTCCGGCAAGCTGCACGGCAATCCCTACCTGATCCTGTTCATCATGGGCCTGGTGGAGTTCCCCAGCTACATAACCATTGTGTTTGTGCTGGATCGCCTGGGTCGTCGTTCGATCACCTCCACCCTGATGCTGGGTGGCGGTCTGTGCTGCATTGTGGCCGCCTTCATTGCCCAAGGAAGCAGCACCTCCACGGCAGTGGTGATGGCGGGCAAGCTCCTCATTGCCGGATCCTTTGCTGTGATCTACAATTACTCGGCGGAGCTGTTTCCCACCGTGGTCCGGAATTCGGCCATGGGTCTGGGCTCCATGTGTGCCCGTCTGTCCGGAGCCCTTACGCCCCTCATCTCGCTGCTGGACTCATTCGATCCCAAGATTCCCGCCGTGCTCTTTGGCATGGTGGCTCTGCTGTCAGGCTTCTGGGTGATGTTCCTGCCGGAGACTATGAATCAGCCCATGCCTGAGTCCATTGAGGATGGTGAGAACTTTGGCAAGGGTGACACTTGGTTCAGTCAGTGCGCCGGTCGCAAGCAGCGCCAGAATAGTGTCTATCCCGATGATCCCGAGCAGATGGTGCCTCTCAAGAACATCGAGAGGAAGTGAAGCTCGAAAAACCAAAGACGATTGATTGTCCCAAGTTCGAAAAGAACCAGTTCAAATTCCTTGTTATTCGCCTGTTTTTCTTTGTTGTTAAGAATTCTTCTATTGCTATTGTACTCTTCTGCCTAGTTAGTGTAAGCTTTAAGATTTGATATCATCCATTCCATCTTGTTTTTGTGAATAAAAAAGCCGCAGTGTTGGCCAGTTCTCTAACGTATGTTTTAAATAATTCTGGAAGGTATGAAGTTGGCTCTAAGAGTAGATTCCCATTCTATATCTATAAATAAAAAGAATAAAAGGAAATAGTTTGGCCTACTTTTAGGCATAAATACTCGGTGACTGACCCCATATCCTGCTCAGAATCACTAAAAGTGATGCAATATAACATTATGGAAGTACAATATTTTTATAGCCCTCAAAACATTGCTTTCATGGGTATATTTGATACCAAAAGGTCCTTTCTCTGGAGCTAAATTCCGCCAAGAGAAACCTGCAATGTTTTGGCCAACTTTCGCTCAATTAAAGGCTATGTCCTTACCCTCTTTTTAGGTGAAGCTTCGAATTGCAGTGGAAATTATATTTCGCAATTTCCACGCAATTGCACTATCACATCAGTGGGATTTCCAAAGTGAAGCCATCACTCCCTGACACAAAGTTCGCTTCAAAGAGTTTTTTGTTTTGCAGTATGCTGATTTAATAGTGCAATAAAAACTAGCACCGAAAAGCTTTCCGAATTAAAATTATTGCAATTTCGGCTTAATTATGGTGCTCGAAAAACTTTGATTTTTAAAGAAATTTGTCTGTTTTTATACCTTTTTGCTGGGTATAATTTAATTCAGGAGCTTGTAAAGCTGTGAAGGAATCATTTCCGACCCTACAAACCATATAAATTCTTGATCAGCATCAAAAGCTGAGTCGATCCAGCCATGTCCGGTCGAAAAATAAATTTCTGAAATTTTTCCGAAAATTTAAAATTTTATAATTATAAATATAATTATAAATAAATAAATTTATAATTATAAATTTAATTATATTATATAATTAAAATTGCCAAAATTTGACATAAAATTGAATTTTTTAAATTTGAGAACTAAGTATGCAGATTTGTTAATCGTTTAAAAATTAGCATAGAACAGCTTTCCGAATTAAAATTTATGAATTTTTGGTTTAGTTATGCGTTTTCAAAAGCTATGATTTTTGGACAAAATTGTCTGTTTTTATACCTTTTTGCAAGGTTTTATAATTTTTGTCAAAAACTAACAACAGCATCAACAAACGCAGTATGCTGATTTAATAGTGCAATAAAAACTAGCACCGAAAAGCTTTCCGAATTAAAATTAATGCAATTTCGGCTTAATTATGGTGTCCGAAAAACTTAGATTTTTAAAAATTTTTTCTGTTTTTATACCTTTTTGCTGGGTATAATTTAATTCAGGAGCTTGTAAAGCTGTGAAGGAATCATTTCCGACCCTACAAACCATATATATTCTTGATCAGCATCAAAAGCTGAGTCGATCTAGCCACGTCCTGTCGAAAAATAAATTTCTGAAATTTTTCCGATAATTGAAAATTTTATAAGGGGTTGTTACATCATTAAAATTGCCAAAATTTGACATAAAATTGAATTTTTGAAATTTGAAAACTGAGTATGCAGATTTTTTAATCGTTTAAAAATTAGCATAGAACAGCTTTCCGAATTAAAATTTATGAATTTTTGGTTTAGTTATGCGTTTTCATATGCTATGATTTTTGGACAAAATTGTCTGTTTTTATACCTTTTTGCAAGGTTTTATAATTTTTGTCAAAAACTAACAACAGCATCAACAAACGCAGTATGCTGATTTAATAGTGCAATAAAAACTAGCACCGAAAAGCTTTCCGAATTAAAATTAATGCAATTTCGGCTTAATTATGATGTCCGAAAATCTTAGATTTTTAAAAAAATTGGTCTGTATTTATACCTTTTTGCTGGGTATAATTTAATTCAGGAGCTTGTAAAGCTGTGAAGGAATCATTTCCGACCCTACAAACCATATATATTCTTGATCAGCATCAAAAGCTGAGTCGATCTAGCCACGTCGTATCGAAAAATAAATTTCTGAAATTTTTCCGAAAATTGAAAATTTTATAAGGGGTTACATCATTAAAATTGCCAAAATTTGACATAAAATAGAATTTTTGAAATTTGAAAACTGAGTATGCAGATTTGTTAATCGTTTAAAAATTAGCATAAAACAGCTTTCCGAATTAAAATTTATGAATTTTTGGTTTAGTTATGCGTTTTCAAAAGCTATGATTTTTGGACAAAATTGTCTGTTTTTATACCTTTTTGCAAGGTTTTATAATTTTTGTCAAAAACTAACAACAGCATCAACAATCGCAGTATGCTGATTTAATTTGTTTGTTTTTATACCTTTTTGCTGGGTATAATTTAATTCAGGAGCTTGTAAAGCTGTGAAGGAATAATTTTCGACCCTACAAACCATAAATATTCTTGATCAGCATCAAAAGCTGAGTCGATCTAGCCACGTCCTGTCGAAAAATAAATTTCTGAAATATTTCCGAAAATTGAAAATTTTATAAGGGGTTACATCATTAAAATTGCCAAAATTTGACATAAAATTGAATTTTTGAAATTTAAAAACTGAGTATGCAGATTTGTTAATCGTTTAAAAATTAGCATAGAACAGCTTTCCGAATTAAAATTTATGAATTTTTGGTTTAGTTATGCGTTTTCAAAAGCTATGATTTTTGGACAAAATTGTCTGTTTTTATACCTTTTTGCAAGGTTTTATAATTTTTGTCAAAAACTAACAACAGCATCAACAATCGCAGTATGCTGATTTAATTTGTTTGTTTTTATACCTTTTTGCTGGGTATAATTTAATTCAGGAGCTTGTAAAGCTGTGAAGGAATCATTTCCGACCCTACAAACCATCTAAGTTTTTCGGACACCATAATTAAGCCAAAATTGCATTAATTTTAATTCGGAAAGCTTTTCTGTGCTAGATTTTATTGCACTATTAAATCTGCGTACTGCGTTTGCTGATTCTATTTTTAGTTTCTGTCTGAAATTATAAAACCGTGCAAAAAGGAATAAAAACACATTTTTTCCCCACAAATCATAGTTTTAAAAACGCACAACTAAGCCAAAAAATCATTAATTTTAATTCGGAAAGCTGTTCTATGCTAATTTTTAAACGATTAACAAATCTGCATACTCAGTTTTTATACCCTTGCAGGGTATTATAATTTCAGTCAGAAGTTTGCAACGCAGTGAAGGAGGCACCTCCGACTATATAAAGTATATATATTCTTGATCAGGATCAACAGCCGAGTCGATCTAGCCATGTCCGTCTGTCCGTCTGTCCGTCTGTCCGTCTGTCCGTTTCTACGCAAACTAGTCTCTCAGTTTTGAAGCTATCTGAATGAAACTTTGCAGTTAGTCTTCTATATACTCTCACTCGTATATATGTCGGAACGGGCCGGATCGGACGACTATATCATATAGCTGTCATAGGAATAATCGGAAAAGTTTTACAAAAAAAATTATAAAATTTTTAGTTTTCAACAGAATTTGATCAAATTTGAGATATAGCCATTTCATATTATTCTACAATTTTGTGTAAAATTTTATGAAAATCGGATTACTATATCATATAGCTCCCATAGGAACGATCAAGAAATAATTTCAATTAAATTTATAACTTTTTTCGTTTTCAGCTGACTTTCATCAAATTTGAGGTATAGCCATTCTATATAAGTCTTAAATTTTGTGGCATAAAATTCGGACGACTATATCATATAGGTGCCATACAAACGATCGTTTGATGTAGAGGAAAAATGCAATTCTGTGAATGTAAAACTGCAAATATAATATGTATAGGTGAATGAAATGAAAGCAGGTATTACTTCACTGTTTTTTAACACAAATATATATAATTTATATTATATGGATTCCTAGTCATAGAAGTTCTATCTGCAAGGGTATATAAACTTCGGCGTGCCGAAGTTAGCTTCCTTTCTTGTTAAATTTCAAAAATTCAATTTTATGTCAAATTTTGGCAATTTTAATGATGTAACCCCTTATAAAATTTTCAATTTTCGGAAATATTTCAGAAATTTATTTTTCGACAGGACGTGGCTAGATCGACTCAGCTTTTGATGCTGATCAAGAATATATATGGTTTGTAGGGTAGGAAATGATTCCTACACAGCTTTTCAAGCTCCTGAATTAAATTATACCCAGCAAAAAGGTATAAAAACAGACAACTTTTTTTAAAAATCTAAGTTTTTCGGACACCATAATTAAGCCAAAATTGCATTAATTTTAATTCGGAAAGCTTTTCTGTGCTAGATTTTATTGCACTATTAAATCTGCGTACTGCGTTTGCTGATTCTATTTTTAGTTTCTGTCTGAAATTATAAAACCGTGCAAAAAGGTATAAAAACACATTTTTTCCCCACAAATCATAGTTTTAAAAACGCACAACTAAGCCAAAAAATCATTAATTTTAATTCGGAAAGCTGTTCTATGCTAATTTTTAAACGATTAACAAATCTGCATACTCAGTTTTTAAATTTCAAAAATTCAATTTTATGTAAAATTTTGGGAATTTTAGTGATGTAACCCCTTATAAAATTTTCAATTTTCGGAATGTTTCAGAAATTTATTTTTCGACAGGACGTGGCTAGATCGACTCAGCTTTTGATGCTGATCAAGAATGTATATGGTTTGTAGGGTCGGAAATGATTCCTTCACAGCTTTACAAGCGTCTGAATTAAATTATACTCAGCAAAAAGGTATAAAAACAGACCAATTTTTTTAAAAATCTAAGTTTTTCGGACACCATAATTAAGCCGAAATTGGTTTGATTTTAAACCGACACCCTTTTCGGTGCTAGCTTTTATTGCACTATTGAATCAGCATACTGCGTTTGTTGATGCTGTTGTTAGTTTTTGACAAAAATTATAAAACCTAGAAAAAGGTATAAAAAAGACTATTTTGTCCAAAAATCAAAGCATTTTAAAACGCATAACTAAACCAAAAATTCATAAATTTTAATTCGGAAAGCTGTTCTATGCTAATTTTTAAACGATTAACAAATCTGCATACTCAGTTTTTAAATTTCAAAAATTCAATTTTATGTCAAATTTTGGCAATTTTAATGATGTAACCCCTTATAAAATTTTCAATTTTCGGAAAAATTTCAGAAATTTATTTTTTGACAGGACGTGGCTAGATCGACTCAGCTTTTGATGCTGATCAAGAATATATATGGTTTGTAGGGTCGGAAATGATTCCTTCACAGCTTTTCAAGCTCCTGAATTAAGTTATACCCAGCAAAAAGGTATAAAAACAGACAACTTTTTTTAAAAATCTAAGTTTTTCGGACACCATAATTAAGCCGAAATTGTATTACACTATTGCACTATTAAATCAGCAAACTGCGTTTGTTGATGCTGTTGTTAGTTTTTGACAAAAATTATAAAACCTAGAAAAAAGGTATAAAAAAAGACTATTTTGTCCAAAAATCAAAGCATTTTAAAACGCATAACTAAACCAAAAATTCATAAATTTTAATTCGGAAAGCTGTTCTATGCTAATTTTTAAACGATTAACAAATCTGCATACTCAGTTTTTATACCCTTGCAGGGTATTATAATTTCAGTCAGAAGTTTGCAACGCAGTGAAGGAGGCACCTCCGACTATATAAAGTATATATATTCTTGATCAGGATCAACAGCCGAGTCGATCTAGCCATGTCCGTCTGTCCGTCTGTCCGTCTGTCCTTCTGTCCGTCTGTCCGTCTGTCCGTCTGTCCGTTTCTACGCAAACTAGTCTCTCAGTTTTGAAGCTATCTGAATGAAACTTTGCAGTTAGTCTTCTATATACTCTCACTCGTATATATGTCGGAACGGGCCGGATCGGACGACTATATCATATAGCTGTCATAGGAATAATCGGAAAAGTTTTACAAAAAAAATTATAAAATTTTTAATTTTCAACAGAATTTGATCAAATTTGAGATATAGCCATTTCATATTATTCTACAATTTTGTTTAAAATTTTATGAAAATCGGACGACTATATCATATAGCTCCCATAGGAACGATCGAGAAATTAATACAATTAATAAGTATAACATTTTCAGTTTTCAAGAGATTTTCATCAAATTTGAGATATAGCCGTTTCATATTATTCTACAATTTTGTGTAAAATTTTATGAAAATTTGACTAATATATCATATATATCCCATAGGAACGATCGAGAAATTTGAGAGGAATGAGAACGGCGGTGGCTGTTGTCGGAAGACTGACAATCGCGGTGGCGATAACATTTTTAGTTTTCAACAGAATTTAATCAAATTTGAGATATAGCCATTTCATATTATTCTAAAATTTTTTGTAAAATTTTATGAAAATCGGACTACTATATCATATAGCTCCCATAGGAAGGATCGAGAAATTAATACAATTAAATTTATAACTTTTTAGTTTTCAGCTGATTTTCATCAAATTTGAGGTATAGCCATTTTATATAAGTCTTAAATTGTGGCAAATTTCATAAAAATCGGACGACTATATCATATAGGTGCCATACAAACGATCGTTTGATGTAGAGGAAAAATGCAAATCTGTGAATGTAAAACTGCAAATATAATATGTATATGTGAATGAAATGAAAGCAGGTATTACTTCATTGTTTTTTAACACAAATATATATAATTTATATTGTATGGATTCCTATTCATAGAAGTTCTATCTGCAAGGGTATATAAACTTCGGCGTGCCGAAGTTAGCTTCCTTTCTTGTTAAATTTCAAAAATTCAATATTATGTCAAATTTTGGCAATTTTAATGATGTAACCCCTTATAAAATTTTCAATTTTCGGAAAAGTTTCAGAAATTTATTTTTCGACAGGACGTGACTAGATCGACTCAGCGTTTGATGCTAATCAAGAATGTATATGGTTTGTAGGGTCGGAAATGATTCCTTCACAGCTTTACAAGCGTCTGAATTAAATTATACCCAGCAAAAAGGTATAAAAACAGACAACTTTTTTTAAAAATCTAAGTTTTTCGGACACCATAATTAAGCCGAAATTGGATTAATTTTAATTCGTAAAGCTTTTCGGTGCTAGTTTTTATTGCACTATTAAATCAGCAAACTGCGTTTGTTGATGCTGTTGTTAGTTTTTGACAAAAATTATAAAACCTTGCAAAAAGGTATAAAAACAGACAATTTTGTCCAAAAATCATACCTTTTGAAAACGCATAACTAAACCAAAAAATCATAAAATTTAATTCGGAAAGCTGTTCTATGCTAATTTTTAAACGATTAACAAATCTGCATACTCAGTTTTTAAATTTCAAAAATTCAATTTTATGTCAAATTTTGGCAATTTTAATGATGTAACCCCTTATAAAATTTTCAATTTTCGGAAAAGTTTCAGAAATTTATTTTTCGACAGGACGTGACTAGATCGACTCAGCGTTTGATGCTAATCAAGAATGTATATGGTTTGTAGGGTCGGAAATGATTCCTTCACAGCTTTACAAGCGTCTGAATTAAATTATACCCAGCAAAAAGGTATAAAAACAGACCAATTTTTTTTTTTAATCTAAGTTTTTCGGACACCATAATTAAGCCGAAATTGGATTGATTTTAAATCGACACGCTTTTCGGTGCTAGTTTTTATTGCACTATTAAATTACCAAACTGCGTTTGTTGATGCTGTTGTTAGTTTTTGACAAAAATTATAAAACCTAGCAAAAAGGTATAAAAACAGACGTTTTTGTCCAAAAATCATAGCATTTTAAAACGCATAACTAAACCAAAAATTCATAAATTTTAATTCGGAAAGCTGTTCTATGCTAATTTTTAAACGATTAACAAATCTGCATACTCAGTATTCAAATTTCAAAAATTCAATTTTATGTCAAATTTTGGCAATTTTAATGATGTAACCCCTTATAAAATTTTCAATTTTCGGAAAAATTTCAGAAATTTATTTTTCGATACGAAGTGGCTAGATCGACTCAGCTTTTGATGCTGATCAAGAATATATATGGTTTGTAGTGTCGGAAATGATTCCTTCACAGCTTCTTCTACTTCTATTGCTATTGTACTCTTCTGTCTAGTTAGTGTAAGCTTTAAGATTTGATATCATCCATTCCAGCTTGTTTTTGTGAATAATAAAGCAGTGTTGGCCAGTTCTCTAAGGTATGTTTTGAATAAGGAAGGTATGAAACGGGCTCTTAAGCTGCTCAGAATCACTGAAAGTGGTGCAATATAACTTTATGCAAGTACAATATTTTATGGCCCTCAAAACTTTGCTTTAATGGGTATATTTGATACCAAAATACCTTCCTCTGGAGCTAAATTTGGCCACGAGAAACCTGCAATGTTTTGGCCAACTTTCGCTCAATTAAAGGCTACGTCCTCACCCTCTGTTCAGGTGAAGCTTCGAATTGCAGTAGCCTTGGCAATTATTTTTCGCAATTTCCACGCAATTGCACTATGGCATCAGTGGGATTTCCAAAGTAGAGCCTTCACTCCCTGACCCAAAGTTCGCTTTAAAGAGTTTTTTGTTTCGGTTTTTTCTGTTTTTGTTTCGTTTTTTGGTATTTTGTATGTTTTCTATTATTTTGTTTTTTTTTTGGTACATTTGAGAACATTCATTTCGAATTTGAATATATTTTCAATTTAAATTTTAACTACACGTAGGCATTATACATTTATATACGTATGCATGTCCGATATCTGATGCGATACCGTTCGCTGGCTTAGAATTATATTAACATTTACATAGAAGGTATAATAGTAGTAGCTTTATGTGTGGGATTTCGGATCGCTGCTCTCGATAGAGCCTCTCTCTGGCACCGATTTCCCATCGAAGGTACACAGAGATAGAGATATATGTTTGTTTGTGGTTAGCAGGTAATCCATCCAGACGATATTCTTAAACATAGACTCAATATCGAGAGATAAACACACATCTAGAGGCGGTTTGCCAAGAACATGAACGCATGAACTCAGAGGAGCCAATTTCGGGGATAAATGCTACACTTGATGGGTTAGGGGAAGGGCGGTAAAGGAGTTCGAGTGCCTAATAATACAAAACATACGCGAACGTAGCTAAATTTATGTATGTGTAAATTAATCACAATTGAATCGGAAAATATTTACAAAAAATACTCAATCAAAGCCCCAACCGGAACGGTCCCCAACGGTCCCAACCCCCTTCGTTTTGGATGTACAACTCAGGTTTCGATATTCAGCTTCCATTGAGCTGCTTCGTCTGATCTCTCCATGTCCTCATTATGCCCGCTCCGGACACTTGGTCTGGACAATCGGCGCCTTGGCCGTGGCCAGGCCTGGACCTCCGCCTCCTTCGGGCAGCATTGCCGTGTGCACAATGATGGCCGGCTGGTCCTCGCTCTGTGGGTGCAACTCGTGCGATTCGCCGGGCGTCAGACTGGCCAGGGCGGCCAGCAGATCATGGTTGACCAACGGCTCACCCTCCTCGCGCGGCTCCCAGCCGGCTGGCGGTGAGGCGGGCGGCGAGATGAGGAACTGTTTGACCGGCGCCGGTGGCTGCAGATTCTTGTTGCTAACCGGTGTCACCGGCTGTGCGAAGTAGCAGGTGATGACCGTCTTCTTGTTGAACTCATACTGATGCAGCTTAATCCTCGCATTGGCCGCCGCAATGGCATTGTCGTAGTTGACCCTCAGCCGCCGGAAGCTCCTTAGCCACTGGAATGTGGCCGATTCGCTAAATGTGCGAAAGAGCTCCTCCATTGCGTGCTTCAACTCCGGATTGGCGAAAACCTCCGAATGAATGTTGGTCACGATTATCGAGGTGGGCAGGTCGTCAAACGAATCGGGATCCACTTCCGGTTCCGTGTCGCTGTCCACGGCCGTTTCCGGTGGCAGCGATGGATGCTGACTGGGCAGACCATCGGCGGCATTGATGTAAATGTCCTGATCCGGTGACAGTTTGTCTATGCTACCGCCCCCGCTGCTATTTTGTGTGGACTTCAGCTTGTGGCTTTTGGTGTTGCTGCCGCTGTTGTTATTGTTGTGATTGCCGCTGCGCGGTGTTGCTGGTCCACTGGCCGCTTCACTGGCTTTGCCAGATCCTGCATCAGCATCACCAGCGGCAGGATCAGGCGGAGCACCGGACGATGCATTGTTGTTGGACTTGATGGCTTCCGACATGGCTGCCTGAAAATGCAAGAAGACCGGTTAGATGGAGGGTTCATAAAATAAGGAGGATATAAATATCTCATATACAATTATTAGTGCAATAAAAACTAGCTCCGAAAAGCTTTCCGAATTAAAATTAATGCGGCTTAATTATGGTGTCCAAAAAACTTAGATTTTTCAAATAATTGGTCTGTTTTCATACCGTTTTGCTGGGTATAATTTAATTCAGAAGCTCGTAAATGTAAATCTCATATACATTTATACCACGCTGGAAGATACGTAGTAAGCCAACCGAACCTATTTAAAATCTCTTCTTGTTAAGCATTTCAATTTTAATTATACCCAATTAATTAAAAGTCTATTCTGGTTAATTAAATCAATTAGAATGCTTTAAAGGTTGGCTTTCACTGCTACTAAACGGGTTAAAAAAAGACAATAGTCACAAGGGTATATTTATAAAATGAAAAGCTAGAATTCAACAGTAATTGCATTCAACAAGTTCGTGACATTTTACAAAACACAAACTGTCACTTGGCCAGGCTTCCAAATATTGCTACAAAAAAAACGTAATAACAAAGAAAAATTGGTAAACAGTGTTTGCAAATTAATTCCATTCCACACCCTTCCCCACTAACCCAACTACGTAAACAAGGCCCAAAGGGTGTTGTAAGTAAACACAGTTATTTACGTAACACGGTTACAGCAAAAATTTCGAGCACGATGCGAGGACAATAAAAATGGCTTGGTCCTTGCACAACTACGAAACCTACAACCTTCGTAAAAACTACGAAAACCGAAAACTACAGACGTGTCTGAAGTGCGGGAAAGTAGTGAAAGCGAGTGTGGGGGACGAGGACTTAAGTATCGACACGTGAAGCTAATCAATAGGTCTACGAGGAGCGGGAACTGTCAAAGAGAAGGGGAGGAGATCCGATGGTGACGCACTGTTGATTCACAACTGCTCTTGATTTTATTGTTGGGAAGTGGGGAAGGAGCCAGACGGCTGATTAATAGTGGCGAATTCTTTTTGTGAATGAATGAATTGGTTTGGAACTACTGGCGCCACATTTGCTGGCGTCATTAGAACAGGAACAGTGACGTGTGTCGGCTTTCGCACCTGTGACCACCGACACGGAACCTCAGCCCGGCTCCAGCTCCAGCACCAGGGAATCCGCCGCCGTGGGTTTTATTTTAATAATAATTGCCCCGACGACGAAGCATACTAGGCGCCTCCCATTTGTATGCTATAAAAATAGCATTTCTCTTAGACGTTTATTGCCACCCATGAATCAGCAATATGCAGTGAGTTAATTATATGCCATTTACCCCCAGGAAAGTGAGTTCTCCTTTCCCCTCTCTAATGGCTATATGCAAATGGTTATTTGCGCCGCTTTTGGGCAGACAAAGTTGGCTTAAGAGAGATTTGCAATAAAGTTTTTACGAGAATCGGTTGGGGATAGGTGCATGGAGAGGTAAAAATATTTGTTTTGAATTCATTAATTAAAATTATGTGCATACATTAGGGTCAAAGTTTGAATTCAACTGTTTTCATGGTTTTTAATTAGAGTTCTGGCTAGGATTACAAATATTTATGAAGATTATTAGTAAAAGAGCTTAACAGTTTATTTAAGTTTTATAAAGACATATTAAGTAAAATCAAAAAACTACACAAAAAATGCCCATATAAAGATTAACAAAAACATATATAATATAATCCCTTTTAGTTTTTAATTACTCTAATTATAGTTCTACAATTTCATAATCTTCTGCTCAGTTATGAAAAGTTTACTTTAAGATTTGTATCAGTTTTAATCACTTAAATCGTGCTCAAAGTAAATGGGTTTATAATTTAATTAAATTGCAGCACCCTTGTTTCTGATAAACCATCTTAAACGCTCACTATGCACTCAAAAAAATGAATAAGCACTTGAAAGGTTTGACAAGGCCAAGTGTCAGGGGGTTTTTTTTTAAAGCGCGCCAGACGCCACCGGAGCACCCCTTTCCCCTGAAGGATATTTTACTTTCACTTTCCAGGGCTTTTTGTTTTGATTTCTCTTTTTTGTGTTGGTTTTCACCTCAACGCAGCTGGGAGCTTGGCTAACAATAAAAACAAAGGCTAAAAAAGAAACCACAACGACGAGTTGATCTATTTCCGGATGATTGATTTCCTCGAAAAGGACACACCCACACAATTGTTACTTTTGTGCTTCGGAACGGAAGTGGAGATGTTTAAGCTGGCTGTGTGTGTGTGTGTGTGTGGGGAAGAGGCAGTGGAAATTTAAAGGGAAAATACCGAAGGGAAACTCGTTCATGACGTGTGCACTTTGTTTGCCAAGGGTCTTGATCCCAATCTCTGGGGAGCACGAGGACGCTGGCAAATGCAAGTCAGCGTAAACGAGCTGCTGCCATGCAAATCGCAAAACGTGACGTCATTGTTTCTGCACGCAATCCACAATCCATGTAAAATAGAAAAACAAAAAGAAGAGCAGGCCTAGCGCACTTTACACTAGACAAAAGTAGCTCTCTTAGACCCGCCCCTGCCGTGGTTTCGACACGATGATGAATTGCTTGCCGGTCGTTAGCCAGCGACCTTCACTCATTCATAATTGCTGTCATCATTATATCAAGTGGGTCGTCCTCCCAGCCAGCACCCAACCATCTAGGCATCCATATATCCATTCATTTAGCCAGCTATCCAATCCATCCTTCAGCCCATCCCGCCCTGAGAGACTTTGCAGACTTGGCCATAAGTGGCCAGCATGTATGTCACCCCAAAGGCAGGCAGGAAAAGGAAGAGGATTCCTTTAAGTTTCCATTCGAATTTGGTAGAAAATGAAATTCAATTTAATACTCTCTTGCTAATAAAAATCTATAATAATTAAAGCTTACTTTTGTGATTATTTAACTAGACATTCTAGGAGAGAATGGCTTACAACCTTTGACCTTTGAGAAAACCAATTAATTTCTGTTATTCCTAGAAATCGAGGCAATCATTCGATAACACTCCTTCCTGGAAGTCCCCCCTTTTCCCCTTAAGTCCTTCGGTAAATTAACAAAATGTAATTGAATTCAAAATGCAAATGCAAAATACACAGCCACTCAAAATTGATCTCGCGTGTGAATGTTGAATTGCAAATGTGAGCCACGGGTTAATCAGTTTTCTGTGGCCTTATTTACTTTATCGTCTCGTTTTCGTGACAAAAGGCGAAAACCCCGATCCAGTCTCCAATGGAAGCTGCAGTTTTATGTTGCTGTTGTTTGCCATGCGAAATATGCAAATAGCACGAGGGGAAGATTCATTTGATTTTCCACTGCATTTTCCAACTTTCCCTCAACACGGATATTTGCGATTGATGTGTACCATCGCTGCTGGGAATTTAATTAAATCGGTCCTGTGGGTCCCCTGAGCCAGTGTTTGTCGAGCTCAACGTGCGCGAGGTTTTGTTATTCCAAAAGCCTTGCGGTTTCCCCTGTTGAGAGGCAAAAGCCTGCAAGTGGCATCTCAACGCTTGCCACATGTCGACATACATTGCTGCACGCGGAAACCCTCTAAGCGTCAAAGGTCAAGAGGTTCCCAGCATAGGTGTCCTGAAATTCAAACTTATGCAGGAGCAAAGCCAAGTCTAGGCGTGAAACTTTAGCACAAGGAAGCTTGAGCAGGGATAAAAATTGATTCCTAATTAGTTTCGGAACTCTCCTTTGTTTTCGGTTTTAGCTTATCGCTAATTTTGTTGTGGAGGCGCAGTAATTTCCGGGTAATATACACCTACCCCGTGGCTGCACCTCTGTAATTGAGCTTCGGATGAAGCGACAACAACTCCGCTTTCACCACGGCTGCTGTGGCAAGATATAATTACAGCCAAAGGTCATAGGACAAAGGTCTAGGGGAGGGGGCCTCCACATGGTTGGCGGTTTTGGTTTTGCGAACAAATGACACTGATTGGCGGGTCATTGATTGGTCACATCCCAGCATCCACCCACCATGTATACAAAATGCAAAGTGGTCCCAGGCTTTGCTTATAAATCAGCGAAATTTTGTGTCCCTTAGCTTCACATAAAGTTATGTTTAATAAATAAAATTGCCTGGGAATATTCCACCTTGATATATGATATGTATAACTCAATTGAGCGATTAATTATGCTCAAAGTTAAACCTTAATTTGCCTTTCAGTTGCACTGTACATGATTTTTTTCGTACAGATTACATTCAGGGTGACTAATTCAATAGGAAACTCTGAACGAACTGATTTGTGGGTTTGTTTCGTGGACTCATTAAACGTAATCCCCTTGACCAACACCACAGCAGCCCAGTGACTACCCACCTCCGTAACCAAGGGGCGTCACAAGGGGCGACTATATAGTTGATACTGTTGATATTGCGACCTTTGGTTAGGCATTAGCATCCATCCACGCAGTCCCAGCATCCCAGCATCTCCAGCATCCCGCACTCCCACTCCCACTCGGCTCTCCTAGAGCTGCGGTGAGCCCGGGGAATTCACTGAGTTGGCTGAATTTACCTTTGGCATTGCATGACAATGTCAGGTTTTCGTAATTACCCGACACTTCCAGGCATGAACTGTTAATTAAATCATTCACACACCGTTGGGTACACACACACACACTCACCACAATGCATACGTTGTGCTAGAAAACAAATTTTTCGCAGCAGGTAAATATGAGAAATGATTTTTTCCCATTTACCCGATTGAAATGGCCTACCAAAAAATATTTGATGCAGAAAATTCCAGTCATTTCGAAGCTGGCCTTCGGCTGGTAATTGTAAAATTTCAATGAGGCCCACACAAACACACACACACACAGTGCTGTCAAAGTTCAGCCCCTACATTTCCCACTGCAAACTTTCGCAAATTGGATTGTTATCACTCAAAGTCCTTGGGCGATTTTCCGAGGAGTTTTCCCAGACCCAGCCCAGCCCCTTTGTTGTCGCCTGTCACTCGCAACTGTGTACATCTGTACATCTGTCTCTGTGTGAGCCCGTCTTGTCAACGCTTTGACAC